ACATAAGGAGGGGTGCTGCTCTTGCTCCAGGGCCCCCTCTTCTCTGTATGCTCTCCCCCAGGATGTGGAGCTGGGGGCCCCTTGAATTGGGTAGGCATCCCTCCGAGAATCAGACCCCAGGGAAAACCATCCAGTAGGAAACTTCCAGGAAGGGGCACTGTCACCCCAAAGTTCTGGAGACCTCAGATATCAGAGCCAGGTCCAAAACCCAGGAGATTTTTCTAAAGCCTCACCTTATTATCTGGACACTAGAGGCCCGGTGCATGAAATTTGTGCATGGGGGGGGGAAATCCCCTCAGCTCAGCCTGCACCCTCTCCAATCCGGGACCCCTTGGACATCCCTCTCACAATCCTGGACTGCTGGGTCCTAACTGCTCACCTGCCTACCTGCCTGATCGCCCCTAACTGCCCCCCCTGCCGGCCTGGTTGCCCCACACAGCCTGCTGTTCGGTCATTTGGTCATCCCTCACTGTCCCCCATTCCGGCCTGGTCGCCCCACACAGCCAGCTGTTTGGTCATTTGGTTGGCCCTCACTGCCCCCCCTTCCAGCCTGGTCGCCCCACGCAGCCTACTGTTCGGTTGTCCGTCTGGTTGTTTCAGTCGTGACGGCCCCTGGCTTTTTATATATTAGGATGGCCTTAAATAGACACACAGTCAGGAGACATGGGAGCCCACCCTTGTTCTGACTTTTCCAGCTATCTGATTTTGGGGAATTTACCCAAGCTCATAGCACATCAATTTTCTTATTCATTGATTCAATAAATTATTATGGAATGCCTGTTATGTGCCTGGCACAAGGAATAAACATTATTAATTTAAATGATTGGCTAGTTAATTGAATAAATATTACTGGCTTGGAACAAATAAATATAAAATGAATGTGTATGTTATAGAGCCTCTGAGATCTCATCGTGTAGATGTGAGATAACAGAATGTATTTATATTAGTCTCTGTCCCCAGTTCCTGGCACAGAGCTCCTGAGACCCTTGTAATTTCCTAGGTGGTAAAAGCACTAGAAACACCTTTTATTCTAATATTTTGTCTTTGACTCTGGTTCCTGATATGGGGCTCCTAAATCCCTTAGAATTTCCTGGGAAATTCCTTTTAAGAAGAAGACAGACACAAAGGGAGAAGTTGGCCATGTGACGACAGAGGCAGAGATTGGGTGATGCAGCTACAAGTCAAGGAATGCCAAGGACTGCCAGCAAAAACAGGAAGCTAGAAAAGACGAAGGAGGACCCTCCCTGGAGCCGTCAGAGGGGGCCTTGACACACCTGGATTTCAGACTTCTGGCCTTCAGAACAATAGATTTCTCTTATTCTCGGCCACTCAATCTGCGGTACTTTATTGTGGAAGCTCTAGGAAACGCACACACTGGGGCTTTAAAAAGATCCGCCCACCCAGGTTGGAGGGGAGTCCAAGTGGATGAGGGCTGGGCAGTTAGGAATGCAGTGCAGTTGATCCCAAAAGAGATGATGGTGGCTTGGGCTAGGGTGGTGAGAGTGAGGTGTGGAAAGAAGACAAGCTGAGGAATGCTTAGGAGGTGACATCTATTGAGAGAATATGCAAGTGGCAAACACACTGAAACGTGGTCTTCAGACATGTTCAAGAGATTTGTCACCAACAAGGTGGGAATAGGCCGTGGTGGCACCTAGGACAGGCCAGTGAGCCAGGAGATGGGTGAGGCCAGCATGGGTGGAGAGACGTCACAGGGCTACAGAAGCAGCAGGTGATCAGAGTGGGGGCCCTGGGTGGAGGAAGTCTGTGGGTTAAGAGGCACACTGGGGATCTGCATTAGAACAGGTGGTCAGCTGGAGCACCAAATACCTGAGACAGAAGTGTGATCTAAGAGTCCGGGGCCATTGGCAGTAGCAAAGCTCAAACACGCACCCTGGCTTCCCCGCTGCAGACATTGCTAACCGATCCCAGCATTTTCTCCTTCCACTCTGGAAGCCCCCACCAATGGAGCAGAATGGACACAGATGAAATCCTCTTGCGATCCCAGGACAGGGGTGGGGTTCAACAGGGGACTCAGCCCTCCCCAGACGTCTGCAGATCTGCACTTGGTCCTGATCCTCAGAAGAACGCTGGGAAGTTGACAGAGCAGGTGCTTGCAGGACTCCTATTTTCATGAGGAAACTGAGGCCCAGAAGCCCACAGCTGGTAAAAGGACAGAGCGGGGCTCGAATTAAGACCCACTTCCGAATCTGCCTCCTGCTCTTTCCTGGGAGTGGTTGTGAATCGGCGGCCAAAATAATGAAGACTACTGAATCAGCATTTTTTTTTATTGTGGTAGAATACACATAAATATGAGCTTTACCATTTTAACCACTTTTAAGTGTACAGTTCTGTGGCTTTTCATGTTGATGTGCAACCATGATCACCATCCATCCACAACACTCATTCAATTTCCCAAATTGAGACTCTGCACCCATTAAACAAGTACTCACCATCCCCCTCCCCCACCCCTGACACCCACCCTTCTACTTTCTGTCTCTGCAAACGTTACTCCAGGGGCCTCAGATAGCGGAATCATAGGTTCTTTGTCCTTTTGTGTGAACCAACATTTTTACCCCGGATTGCGCACAGTGGAATTCAAGTCATAATCTGGCTATTGTGCTGATTTAAATGACGTTTACTAACTCTCTGCTATCTTTATTTTCTACCAGAAAAACACGTGTCTTGGTTTAACTCATATGCTATTTTCATTTAAGTGGGCAGGTTTTTTTGTGTTTTGTTCTGTTGTTTTTTTTAATCTCTATGGACAATCATAAAGCCTTCCCTGGGGAAAGAAAAGGCTCAGTTTCCATGACAACGTAATGTCAGGAAGCAAAATCAAAACTCTTGAGACTTATTTTCAGAAACTGTTTTTTAAGAGTTAGGCAAGTTGATGCTAGCTGGTAATCCTGTTTTCAGGTTGAGTTTTGGGGTGTGTGTGTGTGTGTTGCTGTTTTTATGTATCTATTCATCAAATAATTACTGGGCACCTAACAGGTCAGGCACTATGCTAGTGGGCACTGGGCCATATAATATGGGCAGGACAGAAACGGTTCTTGGCCCGAGATTTGGTAATTTAAGAAATGCGGTAGATGTTCCTGAGAGAAACTTTTATTGCTAACACAAACTGAAGTCTGATGCTGGGGTGGGGGCAGAGAATATATTTGGGGCAAATTGAAGATGACCAACCAGATGACATTACCCACGGAGGAGTCTGAGGCCTCTCCCTTGAGCCTTTGAATTGTCTACTTCTAAGCCACTGAATATTTCTGATTGCAACATGGGCCTGGTTTTTGACTTTTAAAAAGCTTGGATTCAGCCTTTAAAAAGAAGGAAATCCTGACATATGTTACCATTTGGATGAAGACATTATGCAAGTGAAATAAGCCTGTCACAAAAAGACAAACACACCACGATTCCATTTGTAGGAGGCATCTAATGCAGTCAGACTCCTAGAGACAGAAAGCAGATGGTGGTTGCCAGGGGCTGGGAGGAGGGAGAATGGGGAGTTCTGGTTCAATGGGCGTCAAGTTCAGTTTGGCAAGAAGAAGAAGTTCTAGAGATCTGTTGTACAACCAACCACATGCCTACAGTTAACGCTACTGTACTGTAGGTACACTTAAAAATGTGTTTATTTACTGCAATTAAAAAAAAAAGAGTCTGGCACAGCCCTAGCCATAGAGGGGACTGAATGTTTGCTCAATGCAATCATCTTGCTGGCTCAAGTCCTGGCCTGATGTTTTTACTGCCAATGTTAGCTATGGGGTTGGAAATGGTTGGTGGTCCCCCCTCCCTGCTGCCTTTTTAGTGTGTGCAATTGAAAATACAGCTGGGAAATAGCAAAGTCAGGGCTTTTCTAGAAAGTCATCTACCCGGGATCGTTCATTTTCTGGACAAGTCCTGTGTCCATCTGACACACTGACTTTGAGTCTCAAGTCTGGACTGAGGTCGGCCTCCCACGGCCACAGTCGCAGAGGTTAACAACAGGCCTGCGCCAGGCGGCAGCCACTAACATGTGGGGTGCCCTTTACAGTTTATGCGTTCACCTCATTTCGGCCGCTTTCTGGCCTCTAGTGCCTTCTCCAGGCTTCACCAGAGGGGTTTGTTTGCAGAACTGATGCCTTAAGGTTTGTTGAGGTTTGTTTTTAAAAATTGGCTGTTCCCACCCACCTTCCCTTGAGATATAAATAGAAGAAAAAAAGAGGTTTAATTAGTAAGGCAAGACATTTGAGCTACATTCACTTGATCCTTGAAAAGGAAATCTAAGAGGTTCTTACTATCACTTTTTCAATCCTATATAAGGTGGGTCAGTAAGGACGCAAAAGCACATCCGTGTTTTTTGCTCCTTCAGCTCTTTTTTCTGATTCTTCTTGGGGGGGAATCTAAAACGGTGAGTAGCTGGTGGACCTACCAGACCCCAGACTCTTCTTTCCTACGCATTCTTATTAGGCTGGTGCATGCTGTGCTCAGATTTCTCTGTTCCCATGGAGTTGACACCTGGAAGGATTCTGATCTCCGGAAGATGGGCTTTTCCTGTCTCTGATTCCCATCCTTCAGGAGAAATAGCATCTCTCCCACAGAAGGTCTATCCTTTCCCTGTGGAATTTGCAACATTGCGTTTCTCTGGCTGGTGCAGGAAGATGCTACTGCAATTGTGACATGCTTTACTTCGCAATGGTTTGTAGATGCTTATATAAAAGGTCAATTATGTAAATATAATTTTGATAAGAAAATGAAATCAAATTGGTTTTTAGGTTGTGCTTTAAATTTCATCTTCGGGGTGTATTCCGGAGAGGGCCCTGAGACACAGATGGCTGGGATCTTCTCAGTATTTGGTTTCTGTGTGGATACTCTGTCCCATCACTTAATACCACGCTGATTACATTTTTCAAGTTCTCAATGAATGTACTGTTTCCATGGGCTAAAGAGGGGGATCCCCCAAGACGAGCTTGTTCCTGCCGCCACTCACCAGCTGTCCCTTATCCCGTGCGGACAGGTGGACCATGAGCATCACAGATGTCCTCAGTGCGGAAGACATTGCGGCCGCCCTGCAGGAGTGCCAAGGTAAAGGGCGGTTGAGGCACGGGCGGGGTTTTCCCTTGTACTCGCACTTCCAGCAAAGTCCCAAAAAATTAACATGTGAACTTTGCCGAAAGTTCATGGGATCAGAGAATAAAACTGTTCTTGATTAACTAAGATTATAGGGACATGAGATCTCATTTCCGTAAGGCGAAAGAAACTCACAGCGAGAAAAGAGGTCATTGGCTGCTATGTACCTATTTGACTCCAACAATTGCATTTTCCCTCCCGGAGGAGACCAGGGGTGCCGGGGTCTTGGAGACACAGCTGTAAAATGGGCAGGGGAGGCACAGGGGAGCAGAGGAGAGAGGGGCAAACCAAGTGGAGAGGAAAGCTGGGGCGGGGGCAGGAGATGATACCCAAAGCCATCCAGGCTTGGCTGCTTAAGAATCTTGAACCAGTCACAGCGCTCTTTGTCTTTAAAAAGATTTATTTTTTTTGAGCAGAGCATCCCTGTGGCTCAATGATACTCTTATTTTTAATAACCCATGTTTTCAGCATCTTGGCCCAAACACAGGATGAGGTCCCGTGAGCACCAGAATAACCCATTCTCTGTTCTTCAGACCCAGATACTTTTGAGCCCCAAAAATTCTTCCAGACATCAGGCCTCTCCAAGATGTCGGCCAGTCAGGTGAAGGATGTCTTTCGGTTCATAGACAACGACCAGAGTGGATACCTGGATGAAGAAGAGCTTAAGTAAGCCTAAGCCTGTCCTAAGCCTGTCTGGCACCCCGACGTTGCTGGTGGGGCTGGGGTGCAGTGGAGGCCAGCTGCTCGGTATTTCTTTATGGACCAGCCTCGATGCCGGGCATTCAGCAGCCTCAAGAAAGGGAAGGACTTGAGCCGGCTGGTCACATGCCGAAACATGGGCACCTAAGACTGGAGGGGCCAAGATGAGCTAGTTTTAGGGGTTTTCTTTGGCCAATGGACTTATCAACAAAACTCTGAAAAAAAATTTCTGAAACAAAATGCCCAGCAAATACTTTCTACAATGAAGGAGACCTTTGCTTGCTAACACCTGGACTGATGACCAAAATTGCTGGGAACAGGGGGTTTGTTGCTAGAAGAGGAAAAGAAAGGGTAAGCGGGAAGTGCTTGGTCTTTCAGAAAATCCCCCTCGGTCTCTATTACCCTGTAGGTTTTTCCTCCAGAAGTTTGAGAGTGGTGCTAGAGAGCTGACCGAGACAGAGACCAAGTCCCTGATGGCGGCTGCAGATAACGATGGAGATGGAAAAATTGGGGCTGATGGTAAGCTCACACCTGCACAGAGCATGAGACTAGCGCAAGGAGCATCAGGGGACTTGGGCCGTGAGATCAGATGGATGTGGGTTAAAAGCCCCCTTTCCTAACTTTGCTGAGCCTCAGTCTTTTCACCTGTAAAATGGGACTCAAGTGAGGGTGCAACGGATGTTAGGAAAGACTGGCACTTGGCTGAGGCTGTACCATAGAAGCTGGTCCTGCTGGTCACTGTCTATGAACCAGAAAATATCCTTTACTAGGGGACTAGCGAGTTGCCTGGCCAATTATGTGCAAGACAGCTTCATGTGCTTTGAAAATAGGGTAAGGAATTCCCACCCGAGGTATCTGAGCCCCTCTGAACGAGGGAAGGATCGACATTCTCAAGAGTGTCTATACTTTAAAGGGCCTATTGTCTAGAGTAGGAAAGCCTCTTAGCTTTCAAGGCTTTAAACCAGTGATGGCGAACCTTTGGAGCTCGGCGTGTCAGCATTTTGAAAAACCCTAACTTAACTCTGGTGACGTGTCACATACAGAAATTTTTTGATATTTGCAACCATAGTAAAACAAAGATTTATATTTTTTATATTTATTTTATATATTTAAATGCCATTTAACAAAGAAAAATCAACCAAAATAATGAGTTCACGTGTCACCTCTGACACGCGTGTCATAGGTTCGCCATCACTGCTTTAAACAAATATGTTTGATTGGCTATTAGCCCACGAAATGGACAATGTGACGCAGAGGCCACATAAACCGGTTGAAACCCATTCCTGGAGGCTTCCGTGTGCAGAGCCCACATTCCACTGTCAGCATGCTGTCTGGCTGCAGGGTGTGTTCGTAGGGTTTGTCCTGTCGCTCATGTGCTCGCTGGCTACTGTGTGTGCGTGCCAACGCAGAAGGTACGTGCGGGCCTTATGGTGGCATTCTTTTGAAATTAAAAACTGCTCCTTTAGATCCTTATTTTAAAAATCTAATCAAAATGATGCCACGATAACTGTCCACACTGGGAGTTGGTGTCACTTCTGTAAATAACTCGGGAAAATGGTTTAGGTAAGGAGAGACTGATTTTTTCAACCTAACCATGAAAGACTTCCAAAATAGGCAAAGCTTACTAATAAATATGAAGTAAATCCCATTTTCAATTCCTCTCCGGAGCATCTACATCGTCACCATTATTAATAGTACTAGTGGCCTGGTGCACAAAATTCATGCACAGGGGTGGAGGGGGAGCCTGGCCTGCACCCTCTCCAATCTGGGACCCCTCGGGGGATGTCCGACTGCCGGTTTAGGCAGGATCCAGCCTGCTCTCTCCCAACTGCCCCCCCTACCGGCCTGCTCTCTCCCAACTACCTCCCCCCCTTGCTGGCCTGATTGCTCTAACCACCTCTGCCTTGGCCCCGCCACTATGGCTTTGTCCAGAATTACGTCCAGAAGGTCTCCTGGAAGGTCTTCTGGTCTAATTAGCATATTACCCTTTTATTAGTATAGATTATTATTATCTTTTAGTAATATAAGCTTTTGGAGGTTTGGTTAAGATTCAAAGAGAAAAGTTAGTTCAAATTCTCACCTCATTAAATGTTTCCAAAAATGCAAAATATAGCTATACTATAGACGAAAACCCCCCATTTCCATCTTAAACTGACCAGACAAAAAGTTAAAAGTTCACAGATTGTGATTGGCCATTATACCAAATTCACTCCTGGCCATGGAGAGAGGACGGGTGGGCAGGTTCTAATACAAGCAAAGCTACAGGAGGTGGTTAAAGGCGGTTCGGCAGGAAGAGGAAACACTTAGACCAGTGGTTCTCAACCTTCTGGCCCTTTAATACAGTTCCTCATATTGTGACCCAACCATAAAATTATTCTCGTTGCTACTTAATAATTGTAATGTTGCTACTGTTATGAATCGTAATGTAAATATCTGATATGTAGGATGGTCTTAGGTGACCCCTGTGAAAGGGTCATTTGACCACCAAAGGGGTCGCGACCCACAGGTTGAGAACCACTGACTTAGACCATCTGGACTGCGGTCGGTGACACGCTCTTCCTTTTGTGCTCTTGGGGGGCCATGCCCATCACCTGAAATTTGCTCCGTTTCTTTCCTCTTCAGAACTCTCATGGGCCACAGTGTCTGTAAAGTACTGAGCCATCTCCACTGACCCTGTTCTCACCTCTTCTGTTCTAGAATTCCAGGAAATGGTACATTCTTAAAGAGCCCAGACTATGGAGATAGACACAATCAGCTGGAAGGCCTCCAAAACCCCAGGAAAACGGGAAACCCCACCTCTTCTCCCTAATTTATTTATTAATTCCCCCTGGAATGCTCCTGCGACTCGCTCGGTGTTTAGTGAGGTAATAGACTTTAGTCGTTCATGACTTTCCGGCGGTGGGTATGCCCTGACGACTCCCATAAGGCCCCCAGCAGAAATGCCTTTAAAAATCACCTAATAAAGACACGTTTCTCATCACCTGCTGTTGTGTGGGTGTGGTTTTTTCCCAGGAAGGGAGCTGGATGAAAGCAGTTTGGGAACTTTGAGATGATGCCTGGTCCCCGCAAGCACTAAGCAAGCAGCGTTTGTGCTGTGCGTGAGCGAACAGAAAACAGGTTGGAAAAACATGTCACAAGCAAGTTGGCACTGTCAAGCTAGGTCTTTCTCAGCCGTGTATCCGAGTCAGACAGTAACAGGAAGGGTTTTAGACAGCAGAGCCGCTCTTGCTCACGTGCTTTCTGCTCCTGGGTGTTAGATTTCCGTAAGAGAGCTTTAAGCAACAGCAAATCGGACAAGACAGAAAAAGTGGGAGGTGCGGCCAAGGAGGCTTACCGTGCTAGGTGAGCACAAGCAGACCCATTTTCAAACGTGTTTTGTTTTCTTAGAAAAACAAGCTGAGACTTTCCTGTTCTGACCCAACCTCCTGCTGCCTCCCCCTCTTCCTCAGCCACTATTTTCCTGGCTTGTACTCGATGCCACCTGAACCAATTACACCAAGAACTGCCTAACATTTGAGGCGAGCTGGGGGGTCCTGTTACAGGCTTTCATGAGGGTGGGGCGATCTCCGGCCAGGAAACTCTCACCGGGCTGCCTTCCAGGTGGCAGGCTGAAGCGCTGCTCCGGCTGCCTGCCCGGGGGCTGAGGACTCCTGGGAGGAACTGAGGCATTTCCCTGGGCGCCCCTTTAAAAATACACTTTTTACCCCCGTACTCGAGCTCCCAAGGCCCTGGGTTCTTCCATCATTCGGTGACTTTGAACCCCTGGTTTTTGGGGGGTCATGTGAGCGCGGCTTTTTAAAGTCTGGGGGCATAGACGGCTGTGGGGCCTCACCGTGACTTTAGAGCAGTGGTTCTCAACCTCGGCTGCACATTAGAATCACCTGGGAATCTTTTTAAAATCCTGATTTCTGGGCCTCATCCTCCGGAAATTCTGTTTCTTTGTTATGGGGTGGGGCCTCATCATTAGGAACAAAGAAACAGAATTTCCGGAGGATGAGGCCCAGAAATCAGGATTTTAAAAGGATTCCCAGGTGATTCTAATGTGCAGCCGAGGTTGAGAACCACTGCCTTAGAGGGACAGGGTGAACACTTTGTTTGAACAACTACGTGTTTATTTTAATGTGCATCAGAAAAAACAAAGCAGACAGGTGGCTCCAGTACTTGAGACCAGGCTACGGGGAGCAGGAGACATTAATCTGAAGAAGAATGAGTAATATTGGAGATAGTATTCAGGGGACAAAATTACAAAGGCAGTTTTCAAATGAGTCAAAATGGGGAGCTACAGCTGGAAAATGAAGTCTTTGGGGAGAGCTGGAGAACAAAACTGTCACTTCGTGGCCAGCTCCTCGTTGCCTCCCCGCACACGCCTGTACTCCATCCTCTCCTCTCCTCACCCCTGCCTGCACTCCATCCTCTCCTCACCCCTGCCTGCACTCCATCCTCTCACCCCTGCCTGCACTCCATCCTCTCACCCCTGCCTGCACTCCATCCTCTCCTCACCCCTGCCTGCTCTCCATCCTCTCCTCACCCCTGCCTGCACTCCATCCTCTCCTCACCCCTGCCTGCACTCCATCCTCTCACCCCTGCCTGCACTCCATCCTCTCCTCACCCCTGCCTGCTCTCCATCCTCTCCTCACCCCTGCCTGCACTCCATCCTCTCACCCCTGCCTGCACTCCATCCTCTCCTCACCCCCTGCCTGCTCTCCATCCTCTCCTCACCTCTGCCTGCACTCCATCCTCTCACCCCTGCCTGCACTCCATCCTCTCACCCCTGCCTGCACTCCATCCTCTCACCCCTGCCTGCACTCCATCCTCTCCTCACCCCTGCCTGCTCTCCATCCTCTCACCCCTGCCTGCACTCCATCCTCTCCTCTCCTCACCCCTGCCTGCACTCCATCCTCTCCTCACCCCTGCCTGCACTCCATCCTCTCCTCACCCCTGCCTGCACTCCATCCTCTCCTCACCCTGCCTGCACTCCATCCTCTCACCCCTGCCTGCACTCCATCCTCTCACCCCTGCCTGCACTCCATCCTCTCACCCCTGCCTGCACTCCATCCTCTCCTCACCCCTGCCTGCTCTCCATCCTCTCACCCCTGCCTGCACTCCATCCTCTCCTCTCCTCACCCCTGCCTGCACTCCATCCTCTCCTCACCCCTGCCTGCACTCCATCCTCTCCTCACCCCTGCCTGCTCTCCATCCTCTCACCCCTGCCTGTACTCCATCCTCTCCTCTCCTCACCCCTGCCTGCACTCCATCCTCTCCTCACCCCTGCCAGCACTCCATCCTCTCCTCACCCCTGCCTGCACTCCATCCTCTCCTCACCCCCTGCCTGCTCTCCATCCTCTCCTCACCCCTGCCTGCTCTCCATCCTCTCACCCCTGCCTGCACTCCATCCTCTCCTCACTCCTGCCTGTACTCCATCCTCTCCTCTCCTCACCCCTGCCTGCACTCCATCCTCTCCTCACCCCTGCCTGCACTCCATCCTCTCCTCACCCCTGCCTGCACTCCATCCTCTCCTCACCCCCTGCCTGCTCTCCATCCTCTCCTCACTCCTGCCTGTACTCCATCCTCTCACCCCTGCCTGCTCTCCATCCTCTCCTCACCCCCTGCCTGCTCTCCATCCTCTCCTCACTCCTGCCTGTACTCCATCCTCTCCTCTCCTCACCCCTGCCTGCACTCCATCCTCTCCTCACTCCTGCCTGCACTCCATCCTCTCCTCACCCCTGCCTGCACTCCATCCTCTCCTCACCCCTGCCTGCACTCCATCCTCTCACCCCTGCCTGCACTCCATCCTCTCCTCACCCCTGCCTGCACTCCATCCTCTCCTCACCCCCTGCCTGCACTCCATCCTCTCCTCACCCCCTGCCTGCACTCCATCCTCTCCTCACCCCCTGCCTGCACTCCATCCTCTCCTCACCCCTGCCTGCACTCCATCCTCTCCTCACTCCTGCCTGCTCTCCATCCTCTCCTCACCCCCTGCCTGCACTCCATCCTCTCCTCACCCCTGCCTGCACTCCATCCTCTCCTCACTCCTGCCTGCTCTCCATCCTCTCCTCACCCCCTGCCTGCACTCCATCCTCTCACCCCTGCCTGCACTCCATCCTCTCCTCACTCCTGCCTGCTCTCCATCCTCTCACCCCTGCCTGCACTCCATCCTCTCCTCACCCCCTGCCTGCACTCCATCCTCTCCTCACCCCCTGCCTGCACTCCATCCTCTCCTCACCCCTGCCTGCACTCCATCCTCTCCTCACCCCTGCCTGCACTCCATCCTCTCACCCCTGCCTGCACTCCATCCTCTCCTCACCCCCTGCCTGCACTCCATCCTCTCCTCACCCCTGCCTGCACTCCATCCTCTCCTCACCCCTGCCTGCACTCCATCCTCTCCTCACCCCTGCCTGCACTCCATCCTCTCACCCCTGCCTGCACTCCATCCTCTCCTCACCCCTGCCTGCACTCCATCCTCTCCTCACCCCCTGCCTGCACTCCATCCTCTCCTCACCCCCTGCCTGCACTCCATCCTCTCCTCACCCCTGCCTGCACTCCATCCTCTCCTCACTCCTGCCTGCTCTCCATCCTCTCCTCACCCCCTGCCTGCACTCCATCCTCTCACCCCTGCCTGCACTCCATCCTCTCCTCACTCCTGCCTGCTCTCCATCCTCTCACCCCTGCCTGCACTCCATCCTCTCCTCACCCCCTGCCTGCACTCCATCCTCTCCTCACCCCTGCCTTCACTCCATCCTCTCCTCACCCCTGCCTGCACTCCATCCTCTCACCCCTGCCTGCACTCCATCCTCTCCTCACCCCCTGCCTGCTCTCCATCCTCTCCTCACCCCCTGCCTGCACTCCATCCTCTCCTCACCCCCTGCCTGCACTCCATCCTCTCCTCACCCCTGCCTGCACTCCATCCTCTCCTCACCCCTGCCTGCACTCCATCCTCTCCTCACCCCTGCCTGCACTCCATCCTCTCCTCACCCCTGCCTGCACTCCATCCTCTCACCCCTGCCTGCACTCCATCCTCTCCTCACTCCTGCCTGCTCTCCATCCTCTCCTCACCCCCTGCCTTCCTCTTGGTTTGTGAAAATGTCCCCCAGACCGCATTTGTCAATCCCTCGAAATAGAAGGGCCGTCCTGGCCACTGCTGACCTAAGAGGCTTGATTCTTAGACGCCCTTCTGCCCTCCCCTCCACACCACACGTGCATGCAGATCCTTCCCTTACCCTAGGTTCACTCCACTCGCCTTTCTCAGCAAAGGGAGCCCCTGAGCAGCTCACAGTGACCCCGCAGCCCTTTCACCACAGGGCTCTGGGCACCCCACGCTTCAGGAAACAATGGGAATGATGATGCTTTAGGAATAATGGTGCTGGGCTTTCAACTGGCCAATTACAAGCCATCACCACCCTCTGGACCAGCAAAGGCCACCTCACCCCCCAACCGAAGCAAAGATCACGGGTTTCTCTTATTTCCTTTCTGTCACTCAGGGGGCATCTTATAGGAATCATGACTAGAAGGGTCATTGGAGCACGGGACCCTGTGTCATAGGGTCATACTGATGTCTTTCTTGGGGAAAATGCTTAGAGGTCAGATGTATACGAGAGGATAAACGGCCACAAATTGTCCATAGAGTGATGGTCAGCTATTCATGAATTTGGTTCATTCTACTGTTTCAAAAGTATAATTCAAATTAGTTTTGCCCATTTCAAATATAGTACTTTTTCATTTTTCC